CCTGGCCGGGCGTGGCTCAGCGGTTGAGCATCGACCTAGGATCCAGGAGATCGCAGTTCGATTCCTGGTCAGGGCACAGGCCCGGGTTGTGGGTTCGATCCCCAGTCAGGGGCGTGCAGGAGCCAGCCGATCAATGACTCTCTCATCATTGATGTTTCAACTCTCTTTCTCCCTCTCCCTTCCTCTCTCTGAAATCAATAAAGGTATATTAAAAAACAAACAAAACAAAAAAAACCTACTTTTTTTTTTTAATTAGCTATGAAAAAAGCTCCTAGCTTTATTGAATTTCGAGTCCTGCCTGCAGTTGCCTTGGCAGGTCCAGGCCAAATGATTTTTTGGGTCCTATAAAGCCTGTGGGCCGAATGTTCCCCAACCCTGATCTAAGCAGACCTAGGTTTTACACAAGCATCTTCCCCAGAATTGGGGAACCATGGCACCTGAGACATGGAAATCAATCCCTTCCTACTGGCAATTTAAGAACAAAGGAAGACAAACACTCTTCTCCAGCACAAAGACAGGAAACATTCATTCCCACTCAGGGCGAACATTCCAGGGACAGGCGGAAGGAATCCGCAGCAGTGACATCCCAGGATGGATGCCCATGGTGGCAGCCAGCAGCCAGTTGGTCTAGGTGGCCTCATGGAGCAGGTTTTGACCACAGCTTTTCTGCAGGAGCTGAGTGTCTGCCATTTGTGTTCAAAGGGCAGGCTCAGCTTACAGAACCAGAGCCCCAGGAGACAGTGGGGAGGGTCTTTTGGAATCAGACAGATACCTGGGTTCAAATTTGGCTCCACTTCTAACTGGGTGACCTTGTACTATCTCCAAGTCTCTGCCTGCTTATCTGTAACTCACCAGGATCATTGACACCCTATCTGTCTAGATTTCAGCAGAAACCAGGACTTCACTGGCCTGGGTCAGCAAAAGAGAGCAGGCAGGACTCCTAACACTTGGCAGGCAGTATTAAAGAAACCCACATAGGGTGTCAGTGCTCCCCGAATCTGACAACAGGCCAGAAAGAGTGAGGGGAGGGAATAGCCCAGGGGAATGGGAGCAGTGGAGGAGTGGGGTACAGTTACTGTGTTGTCAGGCTCCAGAGCAGGAAAGAGCACAGAATAAACATCCTGACACCCCTCTAATCTCCTGCTGGTGCCTCCCCAGAGGTCAATCTCAACCAGAAACCATCCTGCAAGGCAGCCCGGGGCAGTGTAGGCTTTGGGGTCACATCCTGGGGTTCAGAGCTGGGCAGAGAGCAGATGGAGAGAGCGAAGGTAGGTGTAGAAAACACTGTCTAACCCGCATGTTGTCCTTATTTAGTCTTGTTATGAGGACAAAAATAACGTATGTAAAACACTTAGTATGTGGCCTGATACATAGTGGGGCCTCAAAAAATGGGAGCTATTTTCCCATTAGAGCTGTTCACATGTAGGGTCTTTATTGCCTTGTTTTCACACAAAGAGCCCCTAAGCAGTCCTTAGACGCCTGATGTGTGCTGTGAGCTGTGGAGATACAGGCATTGCTATGACCAAGGCTGCCCTCCGGGAGATAAGACAGGGCGGGTGCCCATGAGCCAGAGGGGGACAAGAGTCACAGAGGCCTTCCCAGCCACAAGCTCCTCCAGGACAGAACCACAGCTCTGGTTCTCTTGTTTTCTTTCTTAATATGTGTTAAAGCTTTTCTTTTTCCAGTGAGATTCTAATAGAATACATGATTATGGTCGAAAATATGGAACATGTAGAAAAGCATAAAGACAAGAAGAAAAATTACCTCTCTACCCTCTCCAGAGATAAGCACTCTTTTAAAAAAATATATATATATATGTGTGTGTGTGTGTGTGTGTGTGTGTGTGTTTATTGATTTCAGAGAGAGGAAGGGAGAGGGAGAGAGAGAGATAGAAACATCAATAATGAGAGTCATTGATCCACTGCCTCTTGCACACACCCCCACTGGGGATCGAGCCCACAACCTGGGCATGTGCCCTGACCAGGAATCGAACTGCTATCTCCTGGATCATAGGTTGAGGCTCAACTGCTGACCCACGCTTTCCAGGCAGAGATAAGCACTCTTAACATTTCTGTGACTGCCTCTCCTACGCCTTCCGTTTTAGAGTCAGCCTCTTATTACAGATACAATTTCATAGCCTGGTTGTTGTTTGGGTTTTTCCCCCACTTCTTTTATAAGCATTGAAATCATTCCAAAAGTATCTTTTAATGAACTCATAAGAGTAAATCACATGGCTGGGAATATGAGCTAGGAACCAGCAGACTAATGTCTAATTGCAGCTTCCCAGGTCTTCACCGCACTACAGCAGACAAATTACTTACCTTCGGCTTCTTCATTTGTACAGTGACGCTGGAGGGAGAAGGAAATAGGCATCTTACAAAGCTGTTGCAAAGAGAAATGAAGTATTTATTTCTGTGAAACCATTAGCTCAGTGTTTGGGACATAGTAAAGAGCTAAATAGTAGTTATCATAATTGTCATTAATAATCCATAGTCATTCCTCTATTAGTGAGTATTTAGGGTGTTTCTGATTTATTTTTAATTAGATAATTCTGTTATGACATTTTTGAACTTAAATCTTTTTTCCACAGTTTAACTTTTTCCTTAGGGTATATAAAGCTAATGGTCTCAGGTTTAAACATTTTAATCATTTAATTTCTAGAGCCAGGTGGCCTGGGGTTACATCCCAGCTATGCTACTTACTGCTGTGTGGTCCTGGAAAAGTCACATAACCTCTCTGTGCTTCAGTTACGCCTCCTCTAAAAGATCATGATGTAAGGATTAAATGAAATAATAGATGCAAACATTTGGCACAGTTAAAATGAGTATTAGCCAACATTATTATCACGCATATGCCAGTTATACTCTTACTTGTTTATCTCTGACAACTTTTAGCACTGGGCTGAGCATATTAAACTGGGTTAAAGTTGGTTGTTAGTAGTGTGCTTTGGGTGCATGGAAGATGCCCTGTCTCTCATTAGGAGGTTACCCCGAGTTCAGTCCTCCTACTTCATCCTGTCCACACTCATGCCCACCTCCCCCGCCCACGCCTATGGCTTTATCTTTTGGACTTAGTTCCACTTATATGACACTATTATCTTAAAAGAGAGTGCCCCAGACAGACGTTAAATAGTGTGAGACCTCTCCAGAGGCTTCTGGAATTTTAGGCCAGACACTACTACCAGCCAAAGGTTTAGGGACCCTTCCTGGGACTTGACCCACACCCCTTATCTTATTTCTCACCCACAGTCTCATAGTCCTGAGAGTATCAGACTACTTTATTCTGGGCTGGAGGATTTAAGCACCTACTACGTACAGGTCACAGGAGTAAATCCACCGAAAAACCCAAATGAGAGGATTGGTTTGTGGCAAAGGGTAGGTTTGTATAAATAACCCAGAAACCCAGCAATAAAGTCACACCCTGCAGCTGGGGTGTTGGCAACACTCCATTAGCCACAGCTGTTAGGTTTGTGTGCAGCTACCAACTTCCAGTGGAAATGCACCATGTAGAAGTTAGTAGAATGATTCATGGGGATGATGAATTTCCACATGCCGGGTACATGAAATGGATGACCACATGGCTAGTTCTAGGATCTCTGCTTCCCAGTAGGAATTCTCATATAACAAAGCTTGAGACTCAGGCCTTGGATTCTCAGAGGTGATTTTCCATCTTGCTAAATGTTAATACATATCCTGATACTTCCAAGAAAATCATCAGGTCATTCATCCCACAAATGTTTAGTAAGCACCTACTATGTGCAAGGCACTGTATCAGGACTAGTGGATTAGTCATCATCTAGAACAGGAAAGGTGAGTATGCAGCAAGCATACCCTATCCTCTGCCCAAGACAGACACTAGTCTTCCAAAGAGCCTGGACATGGTCTCAGACCCCATTTCAGGACTCTAGGCAGTCCTTTCAATCAAATTGACATGCCATATTAAACCTGTTCACAGTCTTGGAGCTAAAACACTACAGGTACTTAGAAAATACGGACACAGCAAGAAAAAGAAGTCCAAGCAACCATCAGCCAAATGGAATGAGTAGGGGAAACAGCCCCACACACAGCTGGTTGGTATGACAACGCAGGATAAGCCAAGGCCATCCTAGGAACCATGGCAAAAGGTCCAGGCTAAAAGCACAGATGCTGCTGTGTGACCTTGAGCGTATCACTTCACCTCTCTGAGCCCCAGTTTTCTGATTTGTAAAATGAAGATGATAGTTACACTACCTACCTCTTAGAGTTGTTATGACAAGGTAATGAGATGATGCAATGTGAAGTATTTAACAGTACCTGTCTCCTAGTAAGCAATTTGTTTTTCAGTAATGAAATATAGGCTGTATTTAGGTAAAGAGGAATAAAATAAATTTTCTCTTCCAAACAACCCAGTAAAAGGACATTCTGGACATTTGATAAAACTTTCAGGCCCAAGTACTAGAACTCAAGTTATCTTGCTTCCATTGGAAAATGTGCTCATTGAACCCCACAGAGCTAGTTCCCAGGAACTGCCCCAGAATATAGTCCTGTGGTCATCAGGGCAAATGTCTCAAATGGAGCTCTGCTTCACCGCAACGCTGACCCCATCAAATAGCAGCAAAAGTAAGACATGGCAGTGTGTTCCCTTGCCTTTGTCTAGTGCCTAGAAGGCACATATCCTTTGATCTATGAAAGGGGACCCCTACCAAATACACAGGGTAGCCCAACAGAATTGCATCCAGAACTTGGTGACAATGCCAGATATACTATACTCCTCTTCTACTTTCTCTTGTTGGATAATATTTATTATTATTATTTTACAAGCACGATATGAGTCCCCTGTAGACATTTAGGAAATACAGAGAAGGAAAAAGAAGAAAATAAAAGGCATTCATCATTCCATCACCAGAGGGGTAGAGAGAGTCCAGGTATCTATCCATTCAGACTTTTCCCTCTGCATTTTTAAATTTTAAAAATATGAGATATTTAACTTAAAAATGTTAATTCTCTCCCCCTCCCCCCCAGTTTATCATTATCAGTTCAAGATGCAGTTCCTCAACCAAATCGAGAAGCCAGTAGAACCAACTTTCACCATGTCACTCCTGGGAACAGAAAACGAAATGCATAAAATCCCCATCACACTGTGAGTATGAGGAGCAGCCCGTCTATGGCGATGACAGGCTTAATTTTATCACAGGGACTGCATGGACGCTGTGCTTCTCAAGGGTCAGGCCAGATATAACCTACTCTTCTCAGCCCATTAGCACTGCCCCAAACACCCTATCAGATGAGACATCCGCCCAAGCCCGACGCCTTGTCGTCCCTCCCCAGCCTCACCCAGTCCCACCGGTTACTTTACATTGGTGCTACCTGTGTATGGGATGGGCCCACTGCCATGTGGGCTGAGTGGGGAGGGAAGCCAGAGGTGGCCCAGTCCCTGTCCGCAGTACAGGACGTAGATCTGAGCAGGGAGGAGTGGTGAGCGCCAGAGCAGGTGTCCACAGGAAGGCCCTGAGTGCCTTTCCAGTGAGTTCTGAAAAGTAGCCCAGAAATAAATCTAGGATCACTCAACTTGGCACCAGTTTCCCCTCCCAGTCGGCCTGCGCTGCCAGCCCTGCCCATCTGTCCTCCGTCCTGTTACACACCTGCTCACAACACAAGCAGTAGCCTCCTGCCTCCCTCAGAGGCTCCCCAGAGTCACTGGCCAGAAAAGGCCCATTGGGCTGCTTTTTCTCAGCATTTCAACTCTCTTCTGGGGAAGTGACACTAGCCCTTCTCTCACACCAGGGACAGTCCTCAGCTTCTGAAAATTGCCCCCAGGCTTTGATCTTTTATGTCACACTGCTTCAGTTATTCAGGAAGTATTTGCTGGTGCTCTGCCCTGGGGGTAGAGAGGACCTTTTCCTTAGGATACTCCCAGTCTAGCAGGGCAGAGGCATTCCCAACCGGCTCCCTGTAACATTCTGCAAGAAGAGCTATGATGAGCCGCACAAGGAAACTCTCCGTCCGTCTCACTGTAAATCTAATGTTACCTATGCACTGTCCCAAATCTCCCCTGGGGGGTTATTCTAAAGCAGGTCAGGGAACCTTTTTTCTGCCAAGGCCATTTGGATATTTATAACATCATTCAAAGGTTATGAAAAATTATCAACTTAAAAATTAACTTTGAAAAAAGCTCCTAGATTTATTGAATTTCAAGTCCCACCTGCAGTTGCCTTGGCAGGGCCAGACCAAATGATTTCACAGACCATAAAAGGCCCATGGGCCAGATGTTCCCCCACCCCTGTTCTAAAAAGTGGAAAAGGCATCTAGGTGCTCTCAATGTTGGGACACTTTTAATGTCCTGGAGATTAGTAAGTAAACTGACAATGATGATACTTGTGAATATGCATTTAAACCTTGCTCTAAATTGGTGCATCCTTTTAATATATGGTTTTCTCTTACTATTATGCTTTGTTGTTTAAACAGAAGTTTTTATTTATTTGGGGAGAAACAAAGCCTTGCTGCGGAGGGAAGAGTGTGGTATGGCTCTGCTGTGATAATGAAACCTCCAGAGAGCTGAACTGCACAGAGTCCATTGTCAAAGGCCCACTGTCTCACAGGGACAGTTTTCCTGATTTGCTGTGTAAAACTAGGAAGCCTGAGCTAAATGAAGTTAGCTAGACTCTTTATTGCGGAACTCTCAGAGCCTTTATAAGATGCTATCACAGAAAATAGTATGGTTTTCCCAATATTACCAGCCTAGAGAACCCGTTTTTATCCTGGTATATCCATTGCTATGTCTAGTAATAATCTGTCCAACACCAATTTGAGAAATAACAGCAGAAATGACCATCCAAGTCACACAAGCAAACCTAACATATCCCAAATGTATCTAAGCATCACTTTGCCGTTACAGATAAACTGACTGTGTCTGGTTTCCTTTGTATCGTCAAGGGGCGAAGGAATTACTAGCAATAAAACCTATTCCTTTCTTATCACATTGGATTCGGATATCGGCGAGCTGGTCGTGATCAAGTTCAAGTGGGAGAACAGCGCAGTGTGGGCCAATGTCTGGAACACGGTCCAGACCATCATCCCGTGGGGCACCGGGCCCCTCTACTCAGGCCTCGTTCTGAAGGAGATCCGAGTCAAAGCAGGAGAAACCCAGAAAAGGTGAGTGCCCGTTCGACCCCCCCAGCCAAGCATCTACGTGTGCCAGCGCTTTTGTAATGTAACCCTTGCATTTATCTTACGGAGTGGGCGTTATTACGTCCTAATAATGAAGGACGGACACTCAGAAAGGCGAAGTGTCCACCCCAAGTTCGCTCAGCCACAGGTGGAAGGGCCGGGACCTGCCCCGGGCCTCCGAGCCCAGCCTAGCCTCTTCCCGCCGCCCGAGCTTGAGAGCCGCCTCCCCAGCCCAGCACTTCTCGGACCCCAGCATTACCAGGTGATGTCAGGGCTTCTGGTCCAAGGACCACACTTTGAGTGGCAAGGACCCAGATTTGACGTTTCTTTTTTGTTGCCTAAGCGGAGGAATGCTTTTAACAGATCACAGTCTCACAATCTCACTCTGTAGCAGTGTTTCAAATCTTAGAGTGCCAGAGAATCACTGGGAAGCTTATTAAATATGCGTCATTCTGGCCCCACCTGCAGAGCTCCTGACTCACTGAGGCCTGTGAAGGGCCGGGGACACGAGTTTGTTCCTGAGAGCCCTAAGGCATTCTGATGCGGCCCATGGACTACCCTTAGGAAACATTGCTCTGTGTGGTTTAGCATCTCCCTTGGCCCCAAGGTCCTCGGGGACAATAGGGGAATAGGGAATAAAGGAAAGAAAAGGTCGTGCGGCTGCTACTTCAGCCCTCTCAGCAGAGCAAAGAGATGCCCAACATGTTTTGCCATGGCAACCACACTGCCTGTCGTTCTGCAGGTCTCATGAAGGAAGAATTGTCCTCCCAGACCTTTTCCTATCTCTCCCCCGGTGTTCAGGACACGTGTCTCTCCTCGCTCTTCCCTTTCCAGGAAGTGCATTTGTCTCTTTGGCTTGTCCCCAATAGGGGTGGACAACAGCCGGCCTCTCACCCCTGAACTACATGCCTCCCTCACCCCCTAGGTTTCACTGCCAGGAGGGGGCCCAAGGCAGAGTTTTGCCCCCTGAGTCCCTTCTACAGCCACACTCTGAGATTTTATCTTCCTGGGATACAGAACCCTGGCAATTACTAAGAGCATACGCTGGAGTCTGCCAACAGATTTCTCCACATGATCAATTTGGAAAATTAAACTGCGTCTCTGCTCCTCCACGCTTAGCTGTTCTTGCATGACTTTCTGGCCCTTTACATCAGCTGCATGTCTCAGCACCGCCCCTCCCCACGTGCTCTCAGCCAGAGAGGAAGTTCTCTGGTTTAGTGGCTGTTCACCATGACAATTCTGTGTGACTTGACCTGAAAGGTTGTATGAAAGACAGCACTCCCTTCTCCATGGGCGCTTCCCCATGTGGTTCTCAAGAAGGAAAGAGGAGGCCCTGGCTGGATGGCTCAGTTGGTCAGAGCATCATCCCAATATGCCAAGGTTGTGGGTTCAATTCTCGGTTAGGGCACATACAAGAATCAACCAACGAACGTGTAATAAGCGGAACAACAAATCCATGTTTCTCTCTCTCTCAATCTCTCTCACATGTGCGCACTCTCCTCCTTCCTCTAAAAAGTCAATAAATAAAAAAATAATAAATAAAAAAAAGGAAAGAGGGGTGGGGAGGGAACAGCACTTACTAAGCTCCTAAAGCCCGGCAGGCATTGAACCGAGAGCTCCAGAGCAGGAATCGCATGTAATCTTCCCAATGACCCTCTGAAAAAGGTAGTATTGGCTGTACAGACTTGGAACTTTAGGCTCACAAAATTTACACAGCTTGGGGACTTTCCTAATAATTGTCCAAGCCCAGACCTGACTCGGATTTGTCCGATTCATTGCCTGTTTGTTGACCATACACTGTTTCCAACCGGTCCTTCCTCCATTATTCTTGGCCCCAGGAATCTGACTTTCCTTAGTGTAATCTAGCAGAGTGTGGCTCTGGGCATTAATATGCATGCACATCAAACCCTTCTTCGGGGCTGGAGGAGGCACATGCTGAAAAGAGGGGAGGGGCTATGGGACGTAGAGTTTTTCATCTGTAAGTACTCAGTGCCTTCTGTGTGTCTTCACAGTACCAGATATCATTGGGGGAGACCAAAAAAATCTGACTTGTGGCTCTTGGCATAAATGAAAACAAGATGCATTAATTTTACTAAAAAAAAATATGCTCCACCGCAGGGCTTCTCCAACCTTAATGCCTGCACAGGTCATCTGGGAATCGTGTTAAAATGCAGCTCTGCTTCAGTAGGTCTGGGTGGGGCATGAGATTCTGCTTTTCTAACAAGTTCCCCTGTGCTGCTGATGCTGCTGGTTCATAGACCACACTTTGACTGGCGAGGGCCTAGTACTGCATGGCCTAGGAAGTTTAAGAAGACAGACATCACCCGCGCCAGCGTGGCTCAGTGGTTGAGCATCGACCTAGGATCCAGGAGATCGGGGTTCGATTCCCTGTCAGGGCATATGCCCGGGTTGTGGACTCGATCCCCAGCAGGGGGCATGCAGGAGGCAGCCCATCAATGACTCTCTCTTCATTGATGTTTCTATCTCTCCCTCTCCCTTCCTCTCTCTCTAAAAATCAATAAAAAATATATTTTTCTAAAAAAAGGAGAGTCAGGGAGCAATATGTAAGCAGGGTTCATGGCCTCTACATCAGCTAGGCCTAAACTCTAATTTTGACTTCACTGCTTACCACCTCTATAGAATAAATATGTAGAATAATTCAGAGAATAACTGCACCTCTGAGACTCAGTTCCTTAGTAATAAAAGGGAATTATATTATGTATCTCATGAGACTAATAACAATTACTAGTTTTTAATTACCTTCTACAAACCAAAATCCCAGAGCTAGGATGCACACTCCTAACCTCGTACTCTTAATCTCTCTGCTAACTGCAAGGGGGGAAAGTTGGTAAGTCATTTGCTGTGTGATTTCACTGGTGATTCTTGTCTCCTGCAGGCACGAAGTCGGGGATGAGAGGGGTCTGTTGTGGGGTGAAGGGAAAGGGCAGAAAATATTAGCCCTGCAGAAGGACATAAAAAACAATAAGCTAATCATAATGAGATGTTCAATTTCCATAGTAATCATATAATTCAAAACAAAAATTAGCCTGGCCAGCATGGCTCAGTGGTTGAGCATCGACCTAGGATCCAAGAGACAGAGGTTCGATTCCACATGCCCAGGTTTCGGGCTCAATCCCCTGTAGGGAGTGTGTAGGAGGCAGCCAATCAATGACGACTCTCTCATCATTGATGTTTCTATCTCTCTCTCCCTCTCCCTTCCTCTCTCTGAAATCAATAAAGACATTAAAAAAAAACAACACAAAAATCAATGAAATTATCCCCGGTCAACCATCAGTTTGGCAGGAATTAAAAGACAGATAACACCCAGAGTTGGTGAAGGTGTAGAGCAGTGGGCATTCTCCTGATTAGCAGTGGGAGAGAAATTACAGAGCTCCTGCAGGGGAGCTTCACTCAACAACTAACATCTGGCGAGCACCTACCTTATGCCAGGCACTGGTTGTGGGCACCAGATATACAGCAGTGAAGAGAAGACACAAAGGCGTTGGCCTCGTGGAGCTTACATCACCAAAACCTTACATATGCATAATATCTATGGCCGAGGATATGACACGACACAGAATTTTACTCCTAGGTGTCTGTCCTGGAGAACTTTAAGTATGCCCACAAGGGATATATGTCTACAAAATGTTTGTTGCAGTACTATTTGGAAATAGTAAGCCATTGGGAAAATCTCAGAATCCATCAGTTGGAAAATGCCTAAATGCATTGTGCTTTATGCGTACAATGGAACGCCGTCCATGCAGCAGGCGAGAAAGAATGAAATAGACTTACATGGACTAATATGACTGGTTTCTAAGCACATTAATTGGTGGCAAGGCAAGTTTTCAGAAAAATACCTACAGAAAACCTTCATGTTTGCACATGAACATCAATATACGTGTAAACGCACTGGAAAGACAAAAGCCAAACCATGAAGCAGGAAGGGAAGCGACACTGGTGAAGGGTGATGGAGAAGAGGACCTTGAACACGTGACTTTATTTTTTATTATTTGAATTTTTCAAGAATGCATTTATAACTTACTTATAACACTTTCATTTCAGCTTTATTGAAGTGTATTTAACAAATAAGATATTTAAAGTGAGCATCATTGTGATTTGATATAGAGTAGGTTTGCAGTTGTGAGTACACAAAACAGAGTTTATTCCTGTATTATTATTTATTAATTATTATATTACCTCTTTGTATTATATCTAATTATTATATTACTTCTTTGTAGTATTATAACTGTAAACCTACTTTTGCCCACCTTGTAGAAACACATTGCAAAAGGATCCTCCCATCCAGTTAATTAGCACATTCCTCACCTTACATATTTATCATTTTTTGTTTCCTTTATATCATACAGTGTTACCAACTATAGTCACCATGTTTTACATTAGATCAGCAGACCTCCTTCATTCTGTAGCTGGAAGTTCATATCCTCTTACCATCCTCTCCCTATTCCACTTTCCCCAGTCCCTGGGAACCACTTTTCTATGCTTTTTCTATGAGTTCTACTTTTTTTTTTAGATTTCACATATAAGCGATACCATGCAATATTTGTCTGGCTTATATACTACTTTAATTTAAAAAGTCTGATTGAGTCAAGACTTGACCTCAGATGCAATTCAAAGAAAAGGAAGCCATAAACTAGAATTCTCTTTGACTACTGCTAATTTTTTTCTAATAGATGCAGTTGAAGCCAGTGAAACAAAATAGCACTTCAGGCCAAGCTACTGGTCAAAGCAGTCTAGCTGTTATCTCTGTTGTATCCAAGAGAGACCCAAAGCAACTGCGATGTCCTCTTCGGTTGGACAGTGTCTGCACCAATGAGAGGAAGGGGCAGGGCTTACATGACTGAGCCAGGCAGAGGCTGGTGACAGTGGCCTCCTGCCCAGGGACCTTTAAGATGGGCAATGACAAATTGGAGTGTGTCCAACAAAGGAAGGCTGGAGTAAACCTGTCTGGGCTGAGCAGTGGAAGGAACTGCAAATGTTCGTTTGCCCTGGAGTCAGGGCAATATAGTGAGAGGAACACTAGTTACCCTCAAATCTCTGATGAGCGCTTTTAAGGGAAACAGAGGAGGACTGCCCCTGGGACTTCCAGTTTTTACAGAACTGAAATCAACCCAGAGCAGAGTTCCAGGAAGCCTGACACAGATTGCTCTCACTGACTTGGGTTTTGCTTTTCTCTGAAGTTATGGAAATATTTGCAAACATAACAATCTAATTTTTTTTCAAACATAGCATGTGTTCTATCAATTGAGTATTTGATGAAGGATGAAACACTTCAGTAAGCTCCATCTAAAACTCAATGCTGCATTTGCTTTATGTTTCCTATTCAGGATGTCATTCTGCTCAGAAAACACGGAGGACCTACAGCTTCACCCAACCCAGGAGAAAACCTTCGTGAGGTGTGACGGAAGCTATAAAAAAATGAAGCGGAGGGACAGATGAGTTTTAATGAAGACCCAGTATAAAGAAGAAATTATCTTAATTCTTATCTGGAATGGTTACCTTATTTGGAAACCAGTTAAATAAAAGAATCTTGCATAAAGTTTAAAGGAGGAGCACATTTCACTATTATAAACTAAGCTTTTAATAACTATATTTTGTAACTTTATTCAAATATTAGTGTAACCAAATATTTCCCAGTTTTATCTGATTAAGTGGTAATAGATGCAAATTAGTACCAATGTAAGAGCCATTTTAGATCTGTTGTTCTAATTGAAAATGTCTTTTCCAATTAAGTCAAATTTCCCTTAATTCTTTGCTAGTTTATTCTGATCAGTTTTTGAACCATGCTGGAAAGGTGCTTCTTTATCACATAACTAGTGCTTCAATAAAGTGAAGTTGATCACTAGTTGTCCCAATTTTCCCCTTTTACTGATGCTTGCAACAAAGGGTAATGGAAAACTTGGAATATCTCAGAGTTAGGTATCAAATCTCAAACTCTCCAATAAATGAAATAATGATGTCTGATCAGCAAATTCCTTCACAGAGCGTGTGGAGGAAATACGAGACATGGAATCACTTGGATACATGTTTCAAGTAATTAAGGTTGAAGAAGCACGGGATGCACATTTACCTGACCTGACATTTGCATAGGCTCAGCTCTTAAGTCACATGCTCTTCCCCAGAGCGGGGTAAACCAGGGCTGGTGAAAACAGGAATCCTGAAGAGATGTCTGCCTCTAAATCAGTTTAAGATTATCTTGCATAATTCACTTTTATTTCCTTTGTAAAGTCCCTCAAAACTAAAAGATATGGGGTAAGAGGGAGGAAAAACAGCTGGGTCTATGTTGCATTGTGTCCTGGAATGCTACTCCTGTCTGCAAAAGTATCCAACCATACTTTTAGGTAAAGTGTGTGTGTGTATCTAGAAAAGATAGATATTAAAATGAACAATATTTCCCATTATGTTTAAAATACTAAATTTACAATAAAATCGTGTTTGCATTGGATTGGCATGTTTTATCAACTATCCAGAAGGAATTTGAAATACAGTAGTGTCCCATCCCCTTATCCTCAGTTTCACTTTTCCAGTTTCAGTTATCCTTGGTCAACTATGGTCCAGAAATATTAAATGGAAAAATTCCAGAAATAAACAATTCACAAGTTTTAAATCTTGAGCTGTTCTGAGTAGCATGATTAAATCTCAAGTTTTCCCACTCCATCCCATTTGGAATGTGAATTGTCACTTTTTCCAGCATCTCCATGCTGTACACACTCTCCACCCATTAGTCACTTAGGAGCTGACTCAGACATCAGATCAACTGGCCAGGTATCACAGTACCTGTGCTCAAGTAACCCTTATTTTACTTAATGATGGCCCCAAAGCGCAAGAGCAGTGATGCTGAAAATTTGGATACACCAAAGAGAAGTAATAAAGTGCTTCCTTTAAGTGAAAAGCTTTGTACATATAGGAAAAAACATAGTATATAGGGTTTGGTATTATCCATGAAATCATCACAACCAGAAACAGCCAAATATCCATTCATAAAATGCATAAATGAACTGTGGTATATGCTTACTGATGGAATATTAAACAGCAGTGAAAAAGATGAGCCAAAGCTATACACACAAGAACACGACTGACTCTAGAGTGAGGCAAGGAGGCATTCAGGGTACAAAATTTAAAGAAGCCCTCATGGGATTGTGCATTTGCACAAAGACACAAAACATATATATGGTATGATACAAACAAAACTGAACTATATAATTAGGGATAAATAAATAGATGGTAAAATTCTAAGTAAAAGCAATAAAATCACTAGCACAACAGTGACGCTGTGGTGACTATAGGAAGGAGGAAGTGCACACTGGAGTTCCAGGTGCCAGCAAGATTGTACTTCTCACTCTAGGTGGTGATTGCACAGGTGTTCATTTTTATAACCACTTTTTAAACTACATATATATTTTATGCACTCATTTTTGGCATAAATGTCACATTTCACAATACAAGAAAATAAAGGGCAGAATTCAAGCCAGCATTTTTCTACTATAGTGTGATGCATTTCGATATTAATATAATTTCATACAAAATAGAATTAGAAATTACCCATGTTTTGTAGGAAAGCTTGAAGTGACACAGCATTTCATAACATTTTGGGCAGAGAACTCAATAAGCAAGGAGCATGACAAATGGTTAACTGGAACACTTGAAACTCCTGTTGGCGTGGATCATTTTCACTTGGGAAAATGTGCTCCTCGACATCCCATTTTCTGAAGTGCATCTTAGCAGGGGAGTCAAATAGAGAAACTGAATGATGCAGCCACATCTTTGCCTTGCGCATGCAAAACGCTGGCTCGTACGCTGATTACACGCACCTCTCGCCAATGAATCTGCACTTATGAGCCCACTCAGGGAAGAGAACACTGGCATCCAGCCTTTCAGGCAAGAGCCTCTTTGTGCTTTTACTTGTAAGACAGCATCGGGAAAGAAACGGAGCGCCAATTACACCGCAGCTGGGCTCTTTGAGGTGCCTGAAGCCGGAGAGGAGGAAACAGGCCCTCCATTCAGCACTGAGATGAACGCTCTCTCCTCCACAGCAAAGCTGGCTGCCCTCAGTGTTCACCTTGATGATGCTGCCGCAAATATTGCAGAAGCTTTGATTGCACTTAGGCACATCCAGGGTGGCAAGGCAAGGAGCCCAGCTGCCCAGGGCGACGCCTGCTCGCTCACAGAGCAAAGTCGGGGGTAGAGGGAAGTCAGGCGATGCGAAATAAAGAAACAAGCAGGGGGTTGCCAGATGGGCACGGGTGTGGGGCTGGGTGAAAAAAGGTGAATGGATTAAGTACAAAACGGCAGTTATAGTCTCAGGGATGTAAAATAGAGAATAGGGAAGATATTCAGTAACATTGTAATAACTGTGCATGGTGCCAGGTGGGTACTAGACTATCGGGGTGATCACTTTTTAAGTTATCTACATGTCTACTCACTGTGTTGTACAGCTGAAACTAATATAATATTGTATGTCAACTATAATTTAAAAATAAATTAAAAAGAAAACTTTTTAAGAGACAAGCAAGAGAGAGACTAAAGAAGTCAATCCCCACTGTGCCATCCACCCCCTAACCTTACACTCCCTACTTCTGGATCCCGGCGATCTGCACATGATGACTGGCCCCCGAACACCTCATGCCTTCCCTTCCCGTCGCTGCCTTTTCTTACACCCCCTCCTCTTCCTCTCTCCTCCAGGGTTTTTTCCCCGCCACCTAACTGGATCTTACTTACCTATCCAGGCCCAGCTATTTTCAGCAGTCATTTCCCAGCTCAGACCAGCCCCCGGGATCTTTCTCGCCTCAGCACCTCTCTGCGACCTGAGATGCTCTGTGCGTCTCACCCGGCCCCCCGTTATCCGTGCCCTGCTGGTTTCCGCCCCCTCTGGCTGCTCTGCGCCCCCTGCCCTCTCCTCAGCCTTTCAAGGTCGGCTCTCCTCTGCCCACTCGGTCTCTCTCTTTGCCAGTCTCACCCACTGCTACAGCCTTAATCCTGCCCACGCAGGCCAACCATCCCCACGTGAGCATTCTCCCCTTTGCCCCCTCGCAAGCTCAGAGTGTTCAAAACTGAACCCCCTGTGTCCTCCCTGCTCCCCCACACCTGTTCCTCCCCATGCTCCTGTTCTGTAGCCCAGTGAGTGTCCTTGCCACCCCTCAGTTGCTGATGCCAGACACTGGGGGTCATCCATAATGTTTCCTCTCCTCTGGCCCCTCACAATGGAACAGTCACCAAACCCTGTGAATTCCACCTGTATTTCTTAAATGCGTCTACGTCTCTCTACCTCTGCTGCCACCATCCCACCCCACCACTGTCTCTGACCTGGATCTTTGCAACGATTTTCCAACTCCTCCTGCTGTGTCTGCTCTTCTCTTTCAACCCATTCTCATCACAGCAGCCAGAGTGATCTTGAAGGAAAAAAATCAGATCATATCATTTTCCTGCTTTAAGCCCTTCAAAGGAATTCCCAGTACTCTTTGGAAAAATTCCAAAACAGTTACCCCAGCCCCAGGCCTCCAGTAAAGTCTGCCACTGCTGCTCCCTAGTTCACTCAGCATTCATTGTCCACGGGTCCCAACCAGCCTGCACATTGTAACCGCCTTGGAAGCTTTTAAATCCGCCCAGGTCAGCCCCATCCCTAGAGAGTTTGATTTACTTGGTCTGAGGCAAGGCCTGGGGATTGAGACTTAACAACTTTCCAGCTGATTCTAACAGACTACATTTGGCTACATTTCAGAACCATGAGTCCTGACACATGCGCCATCTTTTAATTTCTTCAAACATGCAAAGCTCTCCCCTGGGCCTTCGCTCGTTCTGTTGCTTACACTCCCTCCTCTTCTCCCAGCTTCTTTTTCTTTTTTTTTTTTAAATATATCTTTATTGATTTCAGAGAGAGGAAGGGAGAGGGAGAGAGAGAGAGACAGAAATATCAATGATGAGAGAGTCACTGATCCTGCACGTTCCCTACTGGGGATCAAGCCCACAACACAGAATTGAACCCTGACCGAATCCACCTGAGATCTCCCGGATCATAGGTCGATGCTCAACCGCTGAGCCACACCAGCTGGGCTCCCAGCTTCTTTACGTGCTTCCAGTCCCAGCTTAGCTGTTACTGCATCAGGGTTCACTTAACAAGGATTATCCCACCCGACACAAGCTTATATCAGCTCCCCCTGCTATACATACTCTTAATTATCTTTTCATTCTTCTGGTAAAATTATTATAGCTACACAGGGTACACAGGGTAGCTGTCACTGTTTTACACAAATGTAACTCTATTACACATTCTTTTCAGCAAATTGATTTCCTTACTCAAAAGTACCTCCTAAGAAACAAGATGGCGCGTAGGTAACAGCTGCACCCACCGCCTACCGCAACCACATCAAAACTACAACTAAAATACAGAACCACCATCACTCAGAGCCTCCTGAGATCTGGCCGAACAGAAGCCCCACAACCAGGGA